CAGCTTTTACTGCTGTAAGTTTTACAGCAGTAAAAGCTGTAAATTTGTCTGTCCCCTAGACCGCCTTTTAAAAAAGTTCAAAACAATTGAGATTTAAAAAATCAAGAGTGATGTTTCTTGTGAAATTTTTGGATGTGATTTATTGCCTTCAAGCCCTTCTTCAGTGATTGTTGAAGCCTCGGCTTCTTGAATTACTCATTTTGACTGAGAAACTTCCGCTTTGGAGAACTCAGTAGCTGATTTATACCATGCGTATTATCTAACTATATATTATTTGCTTTACATTTATATTTTTATTTTCTGTTTCAGCGTTGATTAGGCTACGCTAAGATGGCCTTAAAGAGGTTTTTGTTATTTTGCTGGTTCGCTTTGCTCCTGGCCTTCGTAGATGCCGGAAGGGTTCTAATGATTCCATCGTCCATTCGACCCAGTCATCGGTTGGTATTCCACCGACTGGCCGAAGAACTCGTTCGACGAGGGCACGAGGTTGTCATTTGGCAGGTTGCCTTGAAACATGACCGCCTAGTGGTCCCGAACGGTGTTATCGATCAGCGATGGATTGTCTCGGTTCCTGAAGAGTATATTCAGGACTTGTTCCTGTACCAGAACACATCGATCTACAGTTTCTTATGGAAAGAGTCAGTCGCGGAGCCAGCACGTAAGGCGGCCAACTGGGCGATGACGTTGCGCATGTGCGAATCTGCCTTGCAGAGCCGAAAACAAGATTTTCAGGTATCAAATTTTGATTCGTATTTCGACAGACTTTATTGTTGATCCTCGTCATCGTCACGGTGATCTGTAACACGTTTTAAGCATTTAAAAAATTTCTTTTTCCAACTGTTCTGCCACTTCTGCTTCCACCTGTTTTCATTCCTTATTATAAAGGTGTCTGACATAATGAAAATATTTCACAATTGCATCTTTCAAGGTTAATAAGCGCGCTTATCCTTGGTCCTTCTGTCTGAAAGTATAATCTGCACATCATCATCGTAAAGAAGTGATAAAGTATGTTGAGTTTTATAGCGTGCCTTGACTCTTGTCATGACCTCTCAGGAGTGACACTTCACTGCCCGTAATGTGTGACCATTCTTTTGCTGCTTCAGGACGCGTTAGTTGCATCATATCAACTCTGTGGTTCTAGAAATTACCGTAGCTCGATGAACGATTAAACAGAATGCACGGAAGACTAGTTATCACCAACAGTCTGGCCCTTTTTCCGCGTACGGGTGACTGTTGAATTTGATCTCGGTTAGTGCACTGTTATACACATATACCCTAGTTCATTTCTGATCTGAGGTGTATATGTAATTAATCCAGTGTACCGTATATGCCATGCGAAACCATAGATTCAGCAAGCACGAAACATTAAATCATTAGATTATGTGGAACGAATCCAGAGAACGGAAAGTCATGTTGAGCAGCATTGTCAAAGACTAGCTTCTGTCAGTAAATCCAGATTATTGTGGGTAATTTCTGTTAATCGTAAAAGGTACTGAATTTTTTGAAAATCTGATCGTGATTATGGTATTGCTCTCTAAACGTACTAGATTTCTACTTCTTACTCCGTTTTGCCAAGAATCAGGCACTGGGGTAGTGCCTCAGTTTGAATATATACATATTTTCTTGTTACAGGAAGGAATGATAAATCGGTAACAACTGGTTTCATTTCAATGATTCATTTGTTTTAACCAGAAAATGATAACTCATTGTAACATCT